CTAAAATTGTATTTTTAAATCTTGTTTTTTTAAGTTTTGTGCAAGCGTTTACAACCGCAGTGGAATGACAATCTACTAAAAATGCGCCTGTTTGTTCATTTATAACAGGAAGGAAGGCGAAGTACGGGTTACCTCTCCATGCCAAGTCGTTGGGCCAACTGGCGCCAATCGTTCCCTTGAGATGAGATAGGATCAAGAAGGGTGCAGAGTCGAAGCGAGAGGTACGGGGAAATCCTGCAAAACAAGAAGGGCAGATGGACTCAATTTTACCAACAAATACAAAAAAGGTTTCAACTTTTTAGACTGCGCCCCACTCTAAAGCGCTAAAGTAGCCCTATGAAGGTGTTCCTCTACTTTAACTGTGACTTTTATATTGCAAAGTGCTATGATAGATGCTAGAACTGCTGTCGTAGGTCAGGTATTCTCTGATACCAAGATCTTGGAGCGCTTCCTGCATTGTCATTTGGTGTTTACCTCGATAAAAAAGGTATGTTTCCCTAGTAGGGATTGTTGGGTATGAGATAGACATTGGTATGCAGATGAGCGTTGCCAGCAAAGGCAAGGCTCATTAGCCGTCATCAACCAGTAATGCCCAACCCCAGGCGATGCATTACCCGAAGCTCGAACCCGTGGCCTGTTGATTAGACGTCCAGCGCTCTAAACATTGAGCCATGGGCTCATTATCTTGCCGATTTAGGGGTGCATTCATTATGGATACTCGAGTTAATTTTGGGCATTGAAGACTGATAACTATGGCCCCATCTTTTTTGTCCTTAAAGTGCATGAATTATTTGCACTGATAGCACAAAACTTGAAGTCCCGTTTGATACGAGGAAGGTGGCCCTTTCTAGTAATATCTAAGCGACACGTTTTTCAGAGGACGGACCTCTGAATGACATTTACTACATATACGGCGTCTCTATATGGAATGTTGTCCCATTTGCCTGTCCCTATAACTGGGCCACATGGGTCTCAAACCGCCAGGTCTCGCAGCTTCGTTCCAGTCGTGTCTATGAATACGCATCATGGCAAGCGTCTGTGTTCACACGCGCTCAGCCAGGGGGGCAAGGAGTCTTTCTGTGTGACTAAGGAATTAATTGTACCACTACCATGAAACGTAATGTTATCCATCAGTCGGGAACCGAGAAACGGGTTGAGTGTAATTTTAACCTCGACAGTGAACGGCTCAAGAACTGACCTTACGCACTACAGGAAATCAGCCTTTGGGTGTCTCCAAAGTATTATGATAAGAGTATCGTGAATCACTGAGCGAGTTCCCCAGACGAAATTAAATGCCTAATGAGTATCAAAATGTGTGTGTAACAGGACAAATTCTGGAACGCAATTTCGCATTGCTACATCGGTAGTAGAATACAGACGCCCCATCGCAAAATACTCCAGACACTTGCGCCAATCTGACCGGGGATAGGATAAGTCTTCACGTGGCACATGCTTGTTGTGTTTCTTAAAAAATGCATTCACAAAATCCTTTTCAAGTTATTTTGAGGAAATATTGCCTATCAGAAGCCTTATTTTTAAGCTATGGAATTTTAAAGGAGCACATGAATTTGCATACTAACTGCTGAGGACGGCTAATGCCCAATCCAGTCTCCCTTGTCTTCGTCGGTAATGTCATTCTGCCTATATCGTTAGCCGCTGTGTGGCTTCTAGCGGAGCTCGAGAGTGAGCCCGAAGGTACAACGGGATGAGTTAGATCTGTAACCGATCAGTGAGCACCTATCTACCACTACGTGTACTAGCTCAGACAGTCAATGAATTATTTGTCCGAGGATTCGGAGGCTACTGAATTATTAATATGAACAATTTGTACATTCATGCTCCAGAAAAAGGATAAATGAAATTATATTTTAGCCTGCAGCTGGCCAAAGTTTTGCAATGCTACAACGAACTATGTTTTCTAGTTAAGTACTCGTGGAGGTGAGAAAGAAGCAGTGGAGCTTTGAAGGCAAAAGAAAACTCGCCGATAGGGCTGCATGCTAATCGAAAGAAATATGGAAATTTACTGAATGTCATAAATCAATCAGGACCCACTCTGCGTATAATTTTCTCAACCCCTGAAATAACTTGACTGTATAGGCCATTAAAACTGTGCGCGAAGGAACTTTCCCCTATTTGGGGATTGTGCTTTAGTGAGTAAGAGAAACAGGTTTTTTGTAGCAGATATTTTTCTTCATCAGTGCAGAATGTATGAACAATAATCTTCCCTGGAGTATTAATGGATAGGATAACTAGGTCTACTGAATACGCTCTAAGAGCTCCTAACCTCGTCGACAGCTAATAGCTCAGAATGAGTAACCCCAGTCTCCTTCGTCTTTTCCGGAACTTCCTCCGTGTATTAACTTGCACGATACGAATGGGACACAAAAACACACTCGTTGTTCGTCATATGTGCTCGAGAATAAATTCCTAGCAACATTTAGTTCTTTTTGAGGACAGATGTTGGACTGTGATTCCTCACTTACCAAGAGCATTGACCGGAAATTTCGTCCAAAATGGGCTTCTCCTGGGTAAATCTGCTCTCTGACACCTATTTTAAAAAGAAGGGAGGAGGTTTAAAATATGTCAAAGTAATACGCCGTTTATATGACTTTAAACAACAACGCACGAAAGCTGACTTGGGGTAGAGTTAGGGTTTATGTTGATGTTATTGTTATTGTTAGGATTAGAGCTGGGAAATGTACAGCCTTCTTCGAGTTATACACAGGGTCACCTTTATTACTTGGGCGCGGTAGTCCTATACTCATGTCCTGTTTAGTGGGTCATATATGCAGCCCTTACATCTCATTTTTCTTCCGATATTATTTGTGGATCCTTGTCAGCTCATGATACTGTCCTCATATTGTTCTGTTTGTATTTGCAAACAAATTGCTACCCAAAAGGAAGAGAATGGAAGAGCTACTTTTGGCTTTTTCATCGCTGGCAACCAGTCTGAACTCACGATAGATTTAATTCCATGTAAATAGCTTTTGAGCACACAAAAGCTAAGCTCCCCTATTATCAAATGCCGAGTGTACACTTCCAACAGTGACCTGGAAAAGGCATCAGCATGCGAAAACTTCGTTTGCCGATTAGGCTTATCAGTAGTACGTTCACTGTTTGCCCTGGTCCGGCTGTGACTCACCGAGTAGCCAACAGGCGTTCATGTAAACTTTGACAGATCATTGCAAAAACGCTTTAACATCAATGGAGATTTATGCCCTTGTGCCTTATCTTTCCGAAGCAAACGAAAGAGAGCACTTTTGGACTTACTAAATACTTATGTGTGTTTTATTTCCAAATGCCTGGTGCTGGTTCCCAAACTAACTCGCAAAAAATGGAGATAACTGCTGTTTAGGTTGCACCTCTGTGATTGATGCTTTTTGCAGACAGCAATAAGTACTCATTGAAATTCCCAAGAAACAAGACTGCAAGGTACGTGGACACAGCTTCTCGTAAAAATAAGCAGCGGAATATTTACCCACCTTGCAATCATTGGGAACAAGTTTAAAGGTCAGTAGCTGTCGGGCACCCTGGCAATCCTCCTGCCTGCATTCCAAAACGCACTCGAATGTGGCATTTGGATCGGGTGATGTTCCAACTTTTTCAAGCGTAAAGGCACAATGTAGAAGGGCGTTCCGATTCCCGCCCCAGATATGGCAGAAGGGAATAGACTGAGGAAGGCGAAGGGAAAGACGAAAAGATTAAATACAGCGTGAGAAATTCAAAGTTATGGGAGATAAAGGTAATAATTATATGAGTGGTCCCACCTAATCGTTACTTTTATGTAATACCTACTTATTCCATTTGGTTAGGCTTGAGTTAAGTTTATTCCCTTCTGCTCATTCCCCGTCCCACAGAACTCAAACTTTATCATTATGATTAACGGGCGTCTTAGGAGTAGTCTTGACGTTAGAGGCTACGGTTGGCGTTAGGGTTAAAATTAAGACAAAGATTTAGGATTTGAGGTCAGGCAACCAACGTTTTCAACTTTAATTATATCTTCAATCAAGACCATTACGAAATTTGGATTCGACGATATATCCTTCAAAATTTCTCCTTCAATGAGAGTGATTAGCACGGGCCTGGGATATTTTACCGATGTCCCAGTTCTAATGTTTCCGTCTACTTACAGCCCTGATTTCAGATATTTCAAATTGCGAGCTCACGTTTTTACTTTTTGGTAGTGTATTCTAAAAAGCATGTTGCATAAATTTAATTTTTTAGATTTTCTTCCAGAAAAACGGCCATCTGTTAGTTTCGAGTAGCACAAACATAAATACCACACCAGCATAATTCTCGTACTACGGAATCCTTGCCTTCCGTTTTCTGAGTAGGACGACATACCCGGTCGTCACTGCACAGATGAATAAATTCAAGTTCTTACACTACAAATTGCACAGCATGTATTTTGGACATTTTAAATGAGCATACAGCAGCAGGTCGGGTGCAAACTCATTCGGGGAGTGAAAAGTTATTGAAACCGATATCCACTCATCATTTTCGAGCATATAATTTGATCAAGACTCAGTTCACTAAAAAATGAACACGTGAAAGGATATTTATACGCATCTTTTAATAAGCCATATCTGACCTTATAATGATATCGAATATCTCATTTAATTCACGACTTTGGGGCTAGTGGGATTTTTACAGGCTTTCGTTGATGCAAACACATCAAAACTATTATCCTACTATGACTGAAAGATCTTGGGATTATGCTGTGTAGTAATCAATACCACAACTTCACCAAAATAATATTTTCTAACAAACATCACATTTCAGATTTTAAGTTCGCGTTTTATAAGATATGCCACCAAGTGCAATCTGGTTCAAATATTCAAACTAGGATCTCATTATTCTTCTCCAGTTCGCAGATATCGGGCAATATCCTGTACAGACTTTCACATCCGAGAAGAAGAAGACACGATAGCTGTGTTAGGACGGCCCAGCACGTGAGTCATCACTTGCAATCCTGAGGTCACGCCTGACAAAAGGCAACGAACAGAAGTAAGCGCGCATTCCCAAAGAGCCGAGAACACGGGTAAGAACGCCACGAAGTTATGCGTATCCCTGAGAGGTCCAGCAGCACCCGAGAGCCGCCCGGATAAGCCACTCGCGCATGGACCAATAAGAAGAGACATAGGGGACAAAGACTGCTTGCTCTTAAATACGAAGCTGTGGATGTGAGGCGAGATTCTGCTGTCTACGAAGACAACGTGCTGCCGACATACAGGACAAGCTGCAGATGAGACGACGCTGCCCACGGGACGCTGAGAAGTTGGGGCATACGCGCAGAAGGTGATGTAAACACAGAGACTGCTACTGTAAACTGTTCTCTACTATCCTGTCGGGCTTCTCTTCCTAATATACAACTGGGGGACATAACAGCTGGAACAATAACTTTATGCGTCTGGCGTTTCGGATTTAAGCCTGAACCCATCCATCAGAGACAGCGTCGAATACGGATAATTCTCACATTCTTAAAAATCAGTTCCCAT